ACAAACTTTTCTCTCGTAAGCGTCTACGAACTGTTGTTTCACTCACCTGTAGGTCAAGATCATCTTTGACTTGCTTGGCCGATGAAAATGGTTTGCTTTTAACAAATCTAACAATTCTTCGGTCTTCTTGCGCGGTAGTCTTACGTTTCCCCCCTCGTTTTTCAACTTTTGCTATATAGTTTATGGCATTTAAAATCATCTTTGCTGAACATCCGAGAATATTTTGTATATATGAGTAAGATTTACCCTCTCTATAGTGTTTCAAAATAATGTTGCGTTCTGCTGGTGTACAATGATGTCCTCGGCCCACTTTGAAAGGTTTAGAAAACAATTTTACCATTACGCATACTCAAATAAATAAAGAATGTGTTATAATTGAAGTAGTACTTACTTTTTCAACGAAAAATACTAGAATCTCTTCAAGTTTTGTTAACTAACTTTAAAATTAATACAACCACTGCTATTTTAATGCATTTTATCAATTACAATATTTTTATTAAAAATAAAGATATTCTACAATGTAATGAATTCTCATTTGCTCAATTTATTTATCTCATTCTAGTACATACACACATAAAAAATTAGCCCTTCTGTATTAACAAAAGGAGAGTAATATTGAAAAAACGAATAATTTTTTGGTACTGCTATTTTCATGCTCACAGCTGTATATCACAAATATATCTCATTATATATCATCATATTTTAATTTTTCATAAGTTCGTTTTGAGTTTCTTTCTTTGTTACTTTTTTTCTTTCCTCTCTCTTAATAGTATATTTTGACGCTGTTCTTCTTTTTGAGAATATTTAAAAAAATCATTTATTGATCCGATGTTTCTTTCAGCGCAGTCATTAGTTACACCAAGTCCTTTGACAAAATTTTCAAAAACACTATATGATTCAGTTTTCGAGAAGTTGGGATGAGAATGAATCCAATCTTTGACTTAATTTACGATTCCTAGGCGTATAAATATAAGCCAGCTATCAGCAGTAACAAGGTCTGAAAGCTTGCTGTTTGGTAAGACTAAAACAGGATTAGGTTTTTCCATATTTATTTTTTCTAGCTCTGGAACAGGAAAGGAAATTAATGACTTTAAAATCTCATACTTGACAAATATTTCCAAGTGAGAGTCAACTAGTGAAAAAACAACTACTGCTGGAGAAAGATATTACGAATGTTTATGAAAACTTTTAACCAAAGCATTGTCAACATCGGCATTAAATTCATCCTTGACAACAAATGCTGCTTTAAATGCATTAATATCATTAAGTACAGCATGTTGAGCGCTGCTAGATTTGAGGTACCATGGAGCATAACAAACAGCAATAATAAAGGCACATGTTTCAGTTTCAATTTTATTTAAATCAGGTAAAAAAGGTATAATAGTAGATGTCATTTCTAGTGTAAGAATATACCAAGCATCAGACATGAATCTTGCTTCGTGACAAGCTCCAGGTCGATGAATTTTAAATTTATTAAGCTTATTAGATTCGACGCCAGGATAAAAAGCCAAATATTTTACAAAGTGATTATAGTCATTTCTTAAAAAAATTTTATTGTCCAACAAATACTTCGCATAATCTTTAGCTGCTAGCGCCAAGATGTAAAGCCTGCTACCTATTTCCAACTTGTTCCTGCTGATTCTATTTTTGCTTCTATGTTTTTTTGAGAAATATCAAACAAGTTTTCAAGAAATTCTTCAAACTGATTTTCGTGTTATTTTTTTTTTGGTAACTGTGTTTCAGGCTAAATAACTTGTATTTCGCATTAAAATGTACAGTTTATTTAGTTTAATAAACTTTTGCACAATTTGTACTTCAGAAATTAGGCAGTTTCTATTCCCCCCCCCCCCCTCTCCCTCCTTTTTTTTTATTGCTGATTATGATAGAGAATTTTATGCTGATTAAGAATCGTATAAAAACGTAGGTCTGAAAAAAAAAACATATCCCTACTCCCGCTCTTTGTTTTGCATGAAAAATTAGAAAGATTATAAATGTTTTTTAAGTTATAAAAAACAACAGCTATTAGATTTGTTAAAAGAGTAAATTTTCATTTAGATGCAGCCGAAATATTTAAGTTAAGAAAAACTCAGAACACGTAATAACATCCGATTTTTAATTTTTACAGTAAGCACTTACAGTGTTCTTATATATCTTTTTTCAATAATAGCGGTCTTCTAAAAGTATATAGAAAAAGAAATTGATGTGTACAATTTTTTTTTTCCCATATTTTTTTTTTATCTTAGCTCTAAAATAAATGACTGAAATTGAACTTTAAATAAGTGAAGCCATTTTCTTGCATAAGTTATAAACTGTTTCTAGAGGGTAAGAGGATAACCTTTAATAAAGTTATAAACTGTTTCTAGAGGGTAAGAGGATAACCTTTGTTACAGCCAACATTATGTGTTAACGTTTAGAGGGAAATGAAGCATCATGAAACATCACAGTTGTTAAAATACCTCAAATGTCACGAAAACTATTTCTATATAATGAAAACCTTAATTACAAATTTTACTCATCGCTTTATAAAAAACATTGATTATAATTACAAAAAAATTATTAAAACGACTAACTCTTTTCTACATATTTTTATATAGAGTTTTTTTTTTACCTAATTTTGTCCTACAAATAAGTTAGTTTAAGTTTTAAATTCCTGTTCTAATATTTTTTCTAGGGATTCTAATCATTTTAAGGGATTCTAATAAGATAGTTTAAGTTTTAAATTCCTGTTCTAATAATTCTTAAAGGGATTCTGAAAATTTAAATTCCTGTTCTAATAATTTTAAAAGAATTCTGAAACGACATGTCTGAACTCGTTTAAAAAGCCATTTTTGTGTGTTTGTGTTTGTGTGTGTGTGTGTGTGTGTGTGTGTGTGTGTGTGTGTGTGTGTGTGTGTGTGTGTGTGATTATTAAGGTGCTCACAGTTGTGCTTAGGGTCTTATCAGAGAATTTGAGAAAGTGAATTTAACTAGAAAGCACATGCATCCTTCTTTACCAATGTTGCGTGTTGGGGATAGAACCGACGTCGAGCACGGAACCTCTTGGTTCTGGGTCACGTAAAAAATATATATTACAGTAGTAATACATCACCTTTATCTTCAGCACATGCAGAAAGACCACAAAAGCCATTGTCTACTTCATATTCAGAAAAGTCATTTAATTAAGTTTTTTTTTTAAAGAACTGCAGCCCAGATTTGCGCAAACTTCTGGGGATGGTAGGTTGGTTAGAATGATCAGGCTTCGATAGGGAGAAAGCCTAACTGGTGATGAATGTTTAAAGCGGCTGAGAGAAAAAGCAGTAAAAAAAAAAAAAAAATGCTACAAGAAAAAAGACCACAACAAAAAGAAGAAATCTTCCAGCCTGAGATAATAGAGATAGTTATGAAGATGATGACACGGAGTCAAAAATGTGGTATTCAAAGAGGTCAAAAATAAGAATGGGTGTGTAGTGACTTATGTGATGTTTGGTACCATGTTAAATTGCACAGAAATTCCAGATGGAGCTGATAGTAAAACCATGGACTGGATCTGTGAGAAGTGTCTAAAAATGATGTAAAAATATATGTTTAACATAGCGGAGCTTATTTCCTCCACTTTTCCAAATTTAAGTTTGCATTAGTTGTAACTTTTTAGCTTTTTTATTCACTATATTACTTTAAGTTTTGCTGGATAAAGCTTTTGTACATATAGAAATATGTGTTGTCTATAAGTAAAAAATATTTTCTAGTTTTAAAGAGAAAAGAAAAGTACTTGAAAACATGGGGCTTAATGCCCCCTTTTGCCCTGTATTATAATTTAATATTCGTAGCTTACTTAACAATAATAATAACAACTTAATATATAAAATATATTATACTCACAAAAGATATTTACTTCGTTGATTTTTGATATTTGTATTTAGTTAGAAACAACTTCTTCCCTTTTCCACAAATTTTTAGAATAAAAAGCCAGACTTTGAAAAATGTTAAAACTCACTCTGCAACCAGCATAAAATTAAAAAAATGTGAACTGCAAAAATATAGCACATGCAAATACATTTTTACTTGTGAAAATATGCCTTGAAAATGTCTAGTGAAAACATGCCTTCGAGAATAACCATCAAACAAAAGTTTGCTGATATTAAAAGTAACTATTTTAAAAGATTAAGCCACGCTAAACTTAAAATCTATAGGAACAAATGTACCGCTCCGCAGTTTTGATTTTATTACTTTTTAACTAAACGGTTTTATTAAAACCCATTACAATCAATTAATTTTATACCTTGTTACCATAGAGGTAACCAGAATATTATTTTACCTCTAAAAAGTCTATTTATCCCAAAAAATTTATTATAAATAAAACTGGCTACCTCTGTAGTAACATGTTCTAATCAATCAATCTTTACGGACACACAAAAACAATGACCTAAACTTTTTTTCATTTCTTGGTTTACAAAATGCACCATTTATTTTATAATATGCAAAAAAAATTGAGGAAATTTGGAATTATTGTATGTAATGTATAAAGATTTAGTGAAAACCCGGGTTTTTTTACCCCTGAAAATTCTGCACTTAAAAAGGCAAATTTAAAAAAATTTAAAACAAAATTTTTCGTATTAATTAATGCTAACTTGTTTCGGTTAAAAAAAATATTCAAAATATTAAAATTGAAAAATTTTTACGCCGTTACGTGGTTTGGTTATTTAAATTTATTTAAATCGCTGATTCATTCATAGCTAATTTTATAACAAAGTCATGATTATTGATAGAAGTTTATTTGAATGCGTTGTTGTTGTTTTTTTTTTGGTGTTGTTGTTTTTTGAGGAGAAGGAGGAGAAGGGAAAAGGGGATCCTGGTCTATATTAGACCAGGATCCCCTTTATTACGCAGCCCTATATTACAGCCCATCACTGGTAATTCAACTTTTATAAACAAAGATAAATATATATCATATTTTACAAAATATAAGTTTTTATATTGAAATCATAATATATATTATCTATTCTTACAATAAATAATCAACATTTATAAATGAAATTTTTCTTTAATAAAAAACAATAAATAGTTGTATAAAAAATTTGAAACAAAAAATAAATCTAAATTCGAATAACCGTTATGATTCGATTGTGTTAAGTGTTTAACACAATCGAATTACAATTAAATTAAAATAAAAAACATGAATAAAAAACCAAAAATATAAAACTTATAAACTTAAAGTTAATTAAATTTAAAATTGTAAAGCTCATTGTTAGCGGAATATGTTTTGATAACTAAATAATGTAAAAGTATGTATGTGTATCTATATGTTGACAGAGTATTCAAAATCACGATTACAAATGATAATATGGGATTAAAAATAATCAATAATAAGTGATTGAAAATATAGAAAAATAAAATTCTGTAAATCAATAAAAAAATTAAAAACAAATTAACATTAAAGACTACTTGCAAGGAATGGAGAAAGCAGCCAATTGGCTATCTGAAAAACCAGTCTAAATCTGAACGTTATAATATATATATAAAAAAAAAGCATTCTTATTTTCATGCGTTGATAAGAATAAAATATTGATAGTTAATATAAGTGTGTCCATATTGCAAAATGGTGAATCCACGCAGCAGTCAAAGAAAATATGTGCCACACTGCATGAGCAAATGGTATTTTTCCATCGCTTTTGAAAAAGAACACACCAATCACATAAAGTAATCCACCAAAAGCGAGTTCGAAAAAACCTTTTGTAGACTAAAAAAAAATTAAATTAGGCATTGACACAACTTTCAAAACCCTGATACATACATACATACATACATACATAATAATAATAATAATAATAATAATAATAATAATATATATATATATATATATATATATATATATATATATATATATATATATATATATATATATATATATATATATATATATATAACTCATGTAACTCATATATATATATATATATATATATATATATATATATATATATATATATATATATATATATATATATATATATATATATATATATATATATATATATATATATATATATATATATATATATATATATATATATATATATATATATATATATATATGAGTTACATGAGTTATATATATATATTTGAGTTACATGGGTTTGAGCGTTATCATGGAGAAATTTGAAACTGTTAGTGCCTATTTTAGGTCTTTGCTTATTTATTTCGCATATAAGAGGTTTCAAACAATTTTTTATATAATATTTGCTAGTAATGGTGTCCCTTTTCAACATAACCCAAATGAACAACACCTGTTGTTTTGATGAAGATGTAGAACAAGCTTTTCGGCTAAAACCTATCGTATCTTACTTAAGTTCTTGGACTTTCACCTTCACCAACCCAACTAGCTTTTCTGACTTGTGTCCAACTTGCTCAAAAAAAATCACAACTCATCCCTTGTAACAATATCCCATGTAACAATAGCCTCCATGGGCCGTATCTGAAAAGGTCTAAATTTTCCTTATATGCCTCAACTCTATTCTTTCGACTTTGATTGGTTAACTTGTGGGGTATTCTACGTGATGTTAGTTTTCTTTTTTTAAGTGCGTTGTGAATGATTTCGTTGATTGTAGGACAATTAATCGATTTCAGGGCTTCAATTATATCATGTGTTCCATGCAGATTTTCTCAACAACCCCTAACCCTCTAACCCCTTGCACACGTTCAATATTCTCAGCTGTATACGTGGTTTAAGGGTGCCCTGAGCGAGGATCATCTTCAAGACTCTCTCTACCCTATTTAAATAAAGTAGCTTACTTGGTAACTGTAGTATATTTTGGAACTTGGTCACCATGATCTAAAACCAATTCAATGGTTACAGCTTGTGCTAAAACTCCAAGTAGAGCACGGGTTTTAATATATGCTTGATATTCAAGTTTTTACATTTTTCAACTTTTTCTTTCAAACGTATGTACTAAAATTTAAGTAACTTTTTTAATAAACATACAAACTATTTCAACAAGTACTTAAAATGTTTATAATTAAATACAGTTTAAGATGATATATAAATATTTAATTATTTCCTGTTTTATTGTAACTTTATAGATAAAGTTCTACAAACTTCTCTAACGACCTAAGTATATATATACATACATATATAATATATGTATACAGTGCCATTGGTATTTGATCCAAGGGTCAACCCGTCTCCCTTCTAAAACCTGTCTCAAGAGTTTCAATAAAGGAATATGTATTTGAAAAATTCTTAAATATTTTTCCAATACATATTCCTTAAAAAAAAAGGTCCTTACATCTGATTCATCTAACTACCGTCCCACTAGTCTTCTTCCTATCATAAGCAAAGTTTTTGAATCTTTAATTAACATACACTTAATCTCGAATCTCGAATCTCATAACCTACTTTCTGATCATCAATATGGATTTCTATCTTCTCGTTCTACGGCTGATTTGCTATCAGTAATAACCGATAGGTTTTATCGTGCATTAGATAAAGGTGGAGAGGTTAAAGCCATTGCTCTTGACATTTCTAAAGCGTTTGATTAAGTTTGGCATGCTGGTCTCCTCCATGAGCTTTCTTCTTACGGTGTATCTGGAAACATCTTTAAGATTATTGAATCCTTTCTTTCCAATTGTTTATAAAAGTTGTCCTTGATGGACAGCATTCTTCTTATTCTGTAACCTCAGGGGTTCCCCAATGTTCAATCATTGGCCCTATACTCTTTTTAATTTACATTAACGATCTTCCAGATATTCTCTCATCTAAGATGGCATTGTTTGCTGATGATACTACCATTTATTCTTGTCACGATAAGAAGCCAACTCCCTCTGATTGCTTGCAGGGGGCATCTGAGCTTGAAAAGGATCTCACTTCTGCTAAAGCATGGGGCTCACAGTGGCTGGTGAACTTTAATTCAGATAAAACTCAATTTTTTTCGGCCAATCGTTATTGCAATAATTTAGACCTTCTTATATTTATGAACGGTAATGTACTCGATGAGTCTCCTACCCTTCATCTTCTAGGATTAACTCTTACTTCTGATCTTTCTTGGAAACCTCATATCAAATCCGTTGCAAAATTAGCATCTGCTAAAGTTGCTTCTCTTTATCAAGCTCGTCACTTTCTTACTCTGGATTCTATTCTCTATCTCTATAAATCTCAAATCCGGCCTTGTATGGAATACTGTTGCCATATCTGGGGCGGATCTTCTAATGATGCTTTTTCTCTTTTAGACAAGGTGCAAAAACGCATTGTAAACATAGTTGAACCTGCTCTTGCAGCCAACCTTCAACCTCTGTCACATCGTCATAATGTTGCTTCTCTTTCTCTTTTCTACAAATACTATAATAGGCACTGCTCGTAAAAGCTAGCGTCTCTTGTGCCATCTACTAAAATTCATTCTCGTGTTACTCGTCATTCAATTAAGTCTCATCCTTTTTCTGTTACTGTTCCTAAGTGCTCCAAAAACTCTTATTTGTCTAGTTTTTTTCCTCGAACATGAGTTCTTTGGAATTCGCTTCCTTCATCTTGCTTTCCTGATTTATATAATTTGCAATCTTTTAAGTCGTCTGTCAATCATTATCTTGCTCTACAATCTTCATCTTTTCTCTTCCAGTAACTTCCAACACTAATTAGTGGTTGTTTGCAGCCTTGTTGGAAGCGAAGATAATTAAAAAAAAAAAATTTACAAAAGGGTCTTTTTTTATTAAAATAATATGATAAAAAGTCATAAATTTAACAAACTACATGTTTAATCTTCTCCGAACTGAACAGAAATCAATTATATGTCTGAACACAAAATATAAAGTTTTGACCATAATTAGTTAAATGGCTATAAAATATGAAGTACCAGTCAAAATTGGTGAAATGACGGCTCTTTTTTTTTTGCTATATTATTGAGCCATCATAATTTAAAAAAATATATATAAACTTAGTTCTTCATGAGGTCACGTGACCGAAAATATGACGTTGCCAAAAGTTTAGAAAACATTTATTTTTACTTTAACTTTAAATTACAAACAGAAAATTATATTATGTTTTTTAAATGTCAAATATAAACATACATTTGTAATCAAACAAATATATGTTTATATTTGTAATCAAAAAAAAAATTAGACAAATTTATTGATTCAGTGCAAAAATTATTATTTTATATATTAATCAAATCAAAGTTGGGGATAGATATAAGATACAATAAAATAACATTTTTTTTTTTAATAATTTTTTCAAGCATCATTTCAACACATTAATGAAAGATTTCACTTAAAAAAAAGTCCTTTTTTGGACGATAAATTTCAAAACAATTATTTGGATGCAACCCTAATTGTAATGGACAAAATTTGCATTAACAATCTCCCAAAAATTCTCACATCTAAGGAGGCATTATTTGCTATGATACTACCATTTATTCTTATCTTGATAAAAAGCCAACACTCTCTGATTGCATGGTATTTGATTATTTGAGGTTAAATAGGATCTTATTTCTGCTACAGCATGGGGCTCTCGGTGGCTGGGAACATTAACTCAGATGAAGCTCAATTTTTTTTCAGCTATATCTTAACACAATAATCTATATCTTCCTATATTTATGAACAGTATTGTACTTGATGAGTCATCTACCCATTGTCTTCTAGGATTCTCATACTTCCGATCTTTTTTGAAAACCATATACCAAATCCATTGCAAAATTAGCATCTGCTAAGGTTGCATCTCTTTATTGCTCTCGACACTTTCTTACTCCATATTCTATTCTTTTCTACTATAAATCTCTATTGCGTCCTTGTATGGAATACTATTGCCATAAATGGAACGGATCTTTAAATGATGGCCATTCTCTTTTAGACAAGGTGCAAAAAAGCATCGTACACATAGTTGGAACTGCTCTAGCAGCCAACCTTCAACCATTGTCATATATAGCTATATAGTTATAACAAATCATAACCTAACTAAATTTTCAAGATAAAACGCTGAAAACTTAAAATTTCTATCAATTTATCACTCAAATATGTTCTCAAACTTGTAATAAAAAAAGTCTGTAGCATTAGAGCTGCAGACTTTTTTTACAGATCTTTCTGTCACAATTGATGATGCTGATAAAAACTTTAAAGTACAGTGCAATTTTTTAAGCTTTTTTGAATGGTAATTTGATCCTTCAAATTCAGCTGTTTCTTTTTTGATGCAATCAAAAACATTTAAGCCTCATTCTTTATTAAATTGGAGTTTTGAGCAAAAAATGTTGAAGTTCTTCAGTTCTTTTTTCGTAAGATTCTTTAGTTTCAACATCAGAGGTTTTACATTCAAATGTTGATGCTTTAGGATCTTTGAGATCATAAGAGGCTCTTTATAACTTATACTTTTTTTGGATAGCCTTAACTATAAACCTTTTTTGGAAAATATGGTAAAACAAAACAAAGAAATAATTAAAACTTAAACTAAATAAAGTTATAATACTTTAATTTTAGTGTTTAAAATTGAAAATCTAAAAACTTTTATACAAATTTTTATAAAATATTAATTTTCTCTTGATTTAATTTGGAAAAAAAATTACTAGATTTTACTTAAGTAATACAAATTTACATAAATACTTACTTTGCGTAGTTAATTACTTAAGTTACTAGACACAGCCCTAATTGTTCCTAAGTGCCCAAAAAATTCTTATTCATTTCACTTCAGTTCTTTGGAATTCATTTCCTTTATCTTGTTTTCCTGACTAATATAATTTGCAATCTTTTAAGTCATCTGTTAATCGTTATCTTGCTTTATAAACTTCATTTTTTCTCTTCCAGTGAAGACGTTTTTTTTTTTCTTTTAAAAAAAAAAAGCTATTTGCTAATACTTAAAATAGAATATTGCTACTCAGAGTAGGTATTTTGTTGTTTTTAGATGACGTTGTTTGGAAACAAAACAATAAAAGAAATTTGAAAATGAAACCTTCTTTTCATTCCATATTAAAGTTAATTCTGTCAAAGTTATTCTGATATCAACATCAATACATTGCAAAGTTACTTGAACTTTGGAATATTCAAAAATATTTCAAAGAATTAAACTTTGAATATAGTCAATATTATTTTTTATTTTAACATTTCTGTTACCCTATTTTAACTTTATTTCAATAATATATTTTATGTGTTATAAATATTCACAGCATAAATCAAATAATATATAAAAAAAAAATTACACATAAGATAACATTATTATTAAATTTATTGAGTAAAAATTAAAACATCTTTAAAAGTAGTCATTACCAACTTTGCAAGCAAAGCAGCAGGAAAAAATCCATGGAACAAGTACATAATTGTCTCAAACATTTTGTACCTAAATTTTATTGCATTAATTAGCATAAATTAAAAAAAAAACATTATTCAAAAGATTGATGCAAAATAGTAATATTTGTTATATATATGCACACACATATACGTGTATATGTGTGTGCATGTGTGTGAGTATATAGATATATACATATAAAGTATATTTGGTATATTTTGACTCATAAATAAAATTTCTGAATATTTAAAAATAAAATAGCAACTTTTTACTTCTCATGGTAAAACATAGTGTATGAAACCCCAATAAAAGCAAACAACCAAACTAAATTTGACGAACTGGCGCCATACTCTTCATTACACTGCAGAAGAAACCTAAATTTAAAAAATTTTAATAAAAGCAATCAAAAAAGAAAAAGCATGCAAAGAAAACTTTAAAATATATCTAATGTTTGTTATTAAAATTTTTAACATACCATGGAGTATATGTAGCAGCAATATAGATATAGATAATAAAACGATCACCCAAATGAAATATATGACAGCAAACAGTACTCCTATAAAAAAAAGGGATTTAACCTAATAACTTTTTAATTAACTAACTAAATATTATTAGAAAAGAAAACATGTTTAATAATCAATAGTAACAATAGGGTACTGTTGCGGTTATAAAAATAGATCTTTGCAAAACTTTCTGGGATCGAAATGCAGATAAACATTGCACAGAAACAAAAGAATTTCTTTAAAATGCTAGTGGTTGTGGGATTGATATTCAGACAAACATACAATTTGACGCCACGCAAACGGTTCGCCATTAAACAAGAAACATAATTATTAGAATGTATTGCTTACAACAGTTGTCACGAATGCAGGTTTAATTAATTTTATGAATAAAAGTGCATAATTTGATTAGGAAACATTGCTTCTTTTTTATTATTAAAAAAAAAAACTACCAAGTTACAGATTTTAATTTTGTTCAATTTTTAGTGTATTGGTCGTAATTTTAAGGTACAGTGAGATTCTTATGTTTTTGAATAAAATAAAATTTAAGCTTCAGAAAAAGTGTATTTTTATGTAAAATTAAATTTAAAGGTAGGCTTGATATGGATCATTTTTTGATTAGAAAACATCTTGATACATAAATTTTCACATTAAAATAAAATAAAATTTAATACATATATGATAAATATAACCCATTTTTATGTATTAGGCTTTCATAAAGAGCACAGAGAAGAATCAATTTAATATCAAATTAATTTCAATTCTCTCTC